TTTCGAACTGATCAATTGTTAAGAATATTGATTAATATTTTCAATCAAAATGATTGATTTTTGTTTTTCAAAAAAAAAACAAAAAAAAATTGAACAAGTTTTTCTTTTATTTATTTACTTTTTTTTTTCATTTTTTAGTAAAAAAAAAAACAATGCTATTTTTTCTTTCAATAGTTAATTTTAACATCATAAACTCTCTATTTTTAAATTTCCTTCAAAATTTATCACTAAAATTTCAAAAAAAAAAAAAAAACTCAACTCAAAACTTTGAAGGACAAAAGTGATTTGTTTATTCCTCTATTTCATTCACTTCTTGGAACTATTTGAAAAAACCAAAAAATTTTTTTTTCTTCTCTACTAAATATTACTATCAGTTAATCATCGTTTCACATCTGACTGCAATCATTCCTAATAAATTTTTGTTTATCTACGTCTCCACGACATGTTGAATTGGCTTTAATTTGATGTTTTCAGAATAGAACATTGATTTAACTAAGAAAAAAAAAAATGCTAGTATTCTAGCTATAATTGAAAAAATAGATTTAAATTTTAAAAACTAATTTGAAAAGAAAAAAATGATGAATAAGATGATTCACAGTGAAATAAAAATCTTTAACCTATCATATATTCATTTATCTTCTCCATTGGAATAATTTTTTTCAAAGAAAATAAACCTTACGTTGAAATAATCCACAGCTGTCAATTCATCATTAATTCATTCTCAATTTCTATTCATCTTTTGCAATGTTTTTTTTTTTTTTTTTTTTAAAAAAGAAAAAAATAAGAGAAAAAAATAAATTTTGATAATAATAATAATCATTATTTTTTTCATTTCATTATGCTCCGAACTATTAAATATATAAAATTTGTCGTTTATATTTTAGCATTAAATATCTCAGTTAATTGTTAATGTATTAAATAAATGGTAAATTAATTCTATAATGCTAGTGAATTTGACGTATAAATTTTGAATTCGACCATTTGATAAAAATATTTCTAATAGTATTTTCAAATGACAATCTAGTTAATGTTTTAAATTCAAAATTGTCCCCAAACAAAGCAAAATATTTTCTTTTTTCCACTTTTTTTTTTTTAATAGGAACAAAGTGAAAGAAAGAAAAAAGGATGTATCTATTGTTAATTGAAAGCAATTGCCGCCACATTAATTTAAATAGATCTATTATACAGTATTTGTACCCTACTTTAGAAATTAAAGATGGTATAATAGAGCTAAAATGACGCATAGAAATTATGATTAGCTAATTAAAATGACGTATAATAATTATGATTAGCTAATTAAAATGACGTATAATAATTATGATTAGCTAATTAAAATGACGTATAATAATTATGATTAGCTAATTAAAATGACGTATAATAATAATGATTAGCTAATTAAAATGACGTATAATAATTATGATTAGCTAATTAAAATGACGTATAATAATTATGATTAGCTAATTAAAATGACGTATAAATAAGCCTAAGATATACTTTATTCATAGTTATTATTATATTTTATTAAATGATTTCTGCTTTATCAGTAATGAAAAAAAGCGAATAAACTGTTATACTTTTTGATTGTTTGTTGTAATAGCTTTTAGCTATAAATTTTATGCAATTCTTTCAAATGAATCTATTTCTATCTTTCATTTTATTAAATTTTTTCTTGCAACAATTTCTGCAAACGTCATTAGCAATCTAAAAGTCTAATTAAAAATGAGTGTATTTTATTAATTACTAATGATATAGTTGGAGCTTAAAGCAATTTTAATAATTACAAACTTCTCTTTAGCAAATTTAATGCTTCATATTTAGTTAAAGTTTTTACACATCAAAGTCATACGATCATATTGCAACTGATCTTCTTTCATTTTAAATAAATATTTATTCTCAAACTTTTTCCTACTGATTGAAAAAGTATTATGAGAGTGATGATGATCATTTAGTGATAATGATCATCACTTTCATCTTCAATCTATTATCATAAGAAAAGAATCTTTTGTCAAAAATAATTTGAAGCTATAAAATCATAGATTCTAATCTGCTTGATGACGATATGATCAGAAAAATGCCAATCATATAATCATTGAAATGAAAAATGACAAAAAGAATTTACCAAATTATTTTCGAAAATTTTACAGCTGCAATTTTACAATTCTGAAATGTCGTAGGAATAGCTTGCAGCTGTGAAAATAGAAATCATTCAAATTTGCATATGTGATAGCTATTGAAACAGACATTAGTGGCAAAAATTAGTTTATGCATTGTTTTCATAAAATAATGAATGAAAGAGATGCTGAAAGTTTCTAGATTCTTCATCTAGAAACTGCTAGATTCTCAATTTTAGGTCATATTTTAGGTTAGATTTCAAAATTTTAGGTTAAAAGAATAGGAGAATGATAACTAGTTTTAAAAGAAAAAAGGATATTTGATGGAAGAGTGAGAGTTTAAAAATTTAAAGAAAATCTTAGAATGACGATTAATTGTTCCTTCGGAAAGCAAACTAAAAAAAAACATTACACCTAACTTTCCGGATGAGAAGGTTATTAGCCATTCATGAAAATCCAAACATTAAAATGAAATGATTATCACCTTCACGAGAACAATAACCTTCACACTTTCACTAACAGGAAAATTTCCGGTTTTGAAATTAGAATTCACTGATATTTTTAACCAAATAATCATAAAATGATATAAAAAGCAATCACTAAAATGGTAATTATATATAACCAAAAAAGAAATTGTGAAATGGAAAAAAGCCTGGTCTTTCCGAGAGCAGGGATAGAAAAAAGCCTGGTCTTTCCGAGAGCAAGGATAGAAAAAAGCCTGGTCTTTCCGAGAGCAGGGGTAGAAAAAAGCCTGGTCTTTCCGAGAGCAAGGATAGAAAAAAGCCTGGTCTTTCCGAGAGCTGGGATAGAAAAAAGCCTGGTCTTTCTGGGAGTAGGGGTAGAAAAAAGCCTGGTCTTTTCAAAAGCAGAGATAGAGAAGAAAAAAGCTTAATCTTTCCAAAAGCAGAGATAGAAAAAAGCCTGGTCTTTCCAAAAGCCGAAAGGCCAAGAGTCAGTCACAAGAAATGGCAATATTAAACAAGGCGATTTCTCTCACAAAACCTACCGCTCATTTCATTAATAATGTTCAGTTCATTTAATTAAAGCCCAGAAATTTTTCTTTTTTTTTCTCGTAATCAGCTGTTAATCCATTTATCACTTTCATTATACTTTATTTATTTTTAAATTTACTTATTTACTCTGTTATATCGTTGCCTCATATTCGTCTCGGTACTCCCCGAGAATGCTTACTTCCATTTTGCCTTCTTTGTTTTATGATCTATGATATAATAGAAAAAAAAAATTGCAGAGATTACGGCAAGAAGAACCGTGCAGAAATAATCAATCCGGATACAGAAACAGTCAATCCGGAATCACTCCTGATCACATTTTCATACTATCTGATACCATACATAATGAAATGTCTCATTTAAATATTTCAGAGTCTGAATGTAATTACCATCCAAAATATTTTGAAAAGTTACAAAAATGTTTTCTTGGCATTTGATTGATAATTAACTAATTTCTGAGTTTTTCCCAGAAATACAAATTCAGAAATTTTCAAAGTTAATAATATTTGCATAACAGACAAAAGTTATTGTTTTTTAAAGATTTATTGATTCCTTATTTCACTTCCTTTCTCTCTCTTTTTTTTTCAAACATATATGGACAATTAACATTTAAATGATGAATTTTTTAATTTATAACTTACTGAAAAGTTCGACCTCTCATTTTTTTCTTCTTTAGAGGGAACAAAGTACAAAAAAGTCGAGTTAAAAAACGTAAAACTATTTTATTTATTAGTCATTTAAGCTAAAATATGTTTTAAGCTTTCAGACCTTTCCTGGCGGTTTACCTAATTAGAAGAAAATTGATCGGAAAATTCATATGGTTGCTCGCTTCTTTTTCTAATTTATCAATCATTGAAATACAACCGGAATATAACAGTATACCATATAAACCGGTTTCATTTGGAACGGTTCCTTCTTACTTAGCTTCCTTTATTACTAGCATTAGAAATAGGCGGTAATTGCATGCATATTTACTTTTTCAATTCATTTTTACAGCTCTTTCAAAAGAGCTTAAATTTAATCTTTTTTTAATGATTTTAACAAAAATCATGGAATAACAATAATAATAATAATAATAATAATAATAATAATAATAATAATAATAATAATAATAATTCATTTGCGCCAAATTAGCTAGCTGATTTGTTTTTGGCATTTACTATTTGAAACACTCATTATGCGTTAGTCATAGCTAATCTGAATCTACAGTTTAACTTTCACAGATTTTGATCAGAATTTTAGTACAATGAAAATGATTATCAAAGTTGAAATATTAGCTTTAAGATGAGTTGAAGAGTAGTTATGTAAATTTAAGATACAAGTGATAATGATGGAAGAGTGATAAGAGAGTTAAAGAGAATCGTTTGATCTTTATAAATCTCTTTGAATTGATCATTTTCGACTTTTGATTGTGTCTTGATGAAAACGAATTATATTGCATATGCTTACTGATTTTAAGATTAAATTTTGCTATTCATAAAATGCGCATCAAATGATAACACATAAACTAAGTGCAATTCTATTAATTTAATCTATCCTGGAATGATTTCAATTTATTTGAAATTTCTATTCAAAGTGAAATCAATATATGATAACAATGAGAATCTGATATGATATGATTTGTACAAATTATACTACGCAAATTCAAATTGATCGAAATGCTTTTGCATTGGTTTGTTTTGCAATGTGAAATTTTTTGAAATTTTATAATTTTATAATGAAAAATTTCCTTTGTTTAATTAATCTATTTCTCTAAAAAATATTGATATTGTTTAGTTTTTGAAATAATTTAATAGACAAATCAAATTGTTCCTATCATTACTATCTTTTTTTTTCCTTTTTTTGCCAAATTTACCTATTGTTAAAGTAATTTACCCATATGTTACCCATGGATCAGTTTCAGATTATCTGCCACGTTGTACTATTCTGTTTTGCTGCAATTGGTAATGTTGGAATGTTTCTCATTATTTATCGTAATTTACGCACAAATCATACACATCGAGTGATAATCTTATTGTTACATATGAATATCGCTGATTTGATTGTAACATTTGAATATTTACCTAAACAAATTATACATTCCATCACAAAGTATTGGTATGGTGGCAATATATTATGCAAAGTAAGTTTAATTAATATGAAATTTATATTTTATTAATTATTATGATATTTGAGAGGGAAAAGATAATGAAATATTCATTTCCATTTCAAAAAAATTCAAAGATTTTTTTTTTTTATTTCTGCTATAAAAATATAATGTTCTTCTAATAAAAAATGATTCGATGTGCATTTATGATGAACTAAAAAAAAAAAAAAAAAATTCATAAATTTTAGTTCCATAACAAAATCTGATGGAATGAATAAAATTTTGTGGTTTTTTCTTTTGATTTCTTTTTTTTTTTTTTAAATGATAATTTAAAGAATATAATAGAATTTGAATTGAAATCCTGAAAAATAAAAAACGAATTAATAATGAGGAATTCTTTTTTTTTTTTAAAGGAAAAAATTCCTTTCTTTTTTTACTGTCTTCGTTGAAGCAAAAAATCTAATAATTTCTTCGTTAGAATTGCCTGAATAATATAAGTAATGAAAATTGAACAAAAATAAATCAACCAAAACATCATAATAGGCCGACAAATAAGAATGTACAAGTCATTTAAGCCATTCTGAATTGACAAAACGATAAAAACATTTGTCAAATTCTGATAATATCCATAAGTGTGCACAACACATATACATAAATATTCTTTTAGTGCTTCTTATCATCAAGTGATAAGATGATTTTTCTTTCAATTAAATATTTTATGAAAAAAAAAAAAGAAAATTTTATTTCTAGACGACCCGATTTTTCGACATTTTCGGTGTGTCACTATCATCGGCAGTTGTCGTTTGTATGTGTATCGATCGTTGGCTTTCTGTTTGTAAGCCTTTTTCAGTGATCAATGGTATTAAACGAAATAAAATTATGCTAATTTTTGCATGGATTAGCGCCTTTATTGATAGTTTACCTCAGGTAATTTCCAATAAGTTTTTGGTTCAAATTTAAAATTTCATTTCGGAGTCAAAATTCTTTTCCTATGTAACTTTTTTTGTGACCTTTTTTTTTTGTTTTTCTTTTCAATTATGAAGATGAAATAGAGATGTACCTGAATTTGACATACCTTTGCTCAATTCTGAATTTAATGTAGCGGAGAGAAAGTAGAAAAGATAAGGGAAGTGAAAAACTTTAATTGGCAATATTATAAGAGATAATTAAGAATGCAATATTTGAATAATGACTATACCACTGATCGATCATAAGTATTTCCGATCATAAAACCTAATGCAGCAAATATTATCAATATTATTTACACTTTTATCGTTATTAATGACTACCAATCATTATCAGTTATTATTTTCATTTCTGTTGACTGTTTCTGTTTTACTATCACTTATTGATTACTGTTATCATTCATTATTTATTATTATCATTGTTTACTATTATTATTGCCATTATTTATTATTAATTAATTAATTAATTAATCATCCTGAAACGTCATTCATTTGCGCATCTGTTCTCTGAATATTGGATGACATCTTTCAGATTGGCATATTTACGGTAGCGTCACATCCCTGCAACGAACTATTAACGCAATGTGTAGCTCGAGACTACGTTGGCCTTCTCGATTCACGCTACGTTTTAATTTACACTATATTTACCGCCTTATACATTTATTTCATACCATTATGTGTTATTATTTATTGCTACAGTCAAATACATTACAGGCTGAAAATACGATGTATGTACAAATAAATAATCTATTTCAATTAAAAAAGAAAAAAAAAATCCACTTTAATTAGATCATTTTTAAGCTTTTCTAAATTTGAATTTATTTATTTTTTACCAACAAAATATGCATTAATACAAATTTCTATTAATAGTTCATTTTCTGCATACTTTAATTTCAATTAAATAATTTCAATTTTTTTTTTTTATCAAAATCGAACTTTTTCCTTAAATGCATAAGAATAATAAAGAATGAGAAACATATTCAGATAGACTGGAAAGAAAAGGAAACAATATTGGTGGAATGATAATGAGTAAACCACATATACCAAAATTTCGAAAAGCAAAAATAAAAATAGTACGGATGACATGGAGTATAGTTTTCTTCTTTTTACTTTGTTGGACACCGTATTATGCAGCTGCTACATTGCATTTCATTGATATCGATTATAAGGTAATCATTTATAATATTATATGATAAGTCTGTATGAAAATTTAAGTATTACTTTCTTCTTCTTAGAAATGTATATAGATTATTCACCCCAGAAAAATAAATAAATAAAAAATAAAAAGAACATAATCTCGTGAACGAATATAGGGAAAAATCAAAAAAGAAATTAGATTTTAATTTAAAAATATACCTCTCTTTCTCTATATCTAACAATATTTTAAAAGATTAATAGCTAGTTACTAATATAATTTATATTTATTCTATTGTATATTAATTATATTGTGAATTTGCTTAAATTTTAGACCGGTCGATCGCGAAAGAATATTACAATACCATCAATGTTATCAAAAATTTTGTATATGTTTGCAACAATAAATAGCTCATTCAACGCCTACGTTTATGGATATTTCACCTTTAACCTAAGAGATGAATTGCGAAGTTTAAAGATATTTCTAACAGCGAAATTCAAAAATGGTAGCAGCAGTGAATCACAAAAACAATCACAAATAAATTAATGAAGGAATTATTTTACTAATTTAATGTGTCATTGTTAATAAAGGTAATAATCATTCATCTCAAACTGCCATATTGACTTACTTCCACAAATGCTCTTAAATAACATTTTTGTTTTGTTTGAAAAATCAGTGTTGTTATTGCGTCATAATAATTTATTGTTAAATATTTATTCATGAAACTACAAGATAATCTTTTTTTTTTTAAAAAAAAATTTTTAATTCGAAACAAAAAAAGAAATGGTGCATATAAAATATTTAAAGAATTGGTCAAACAAAAGACAAACACAATGATAACCATCTTTAAAATTATTCTGAAATTAGCATTTCTAATATTCTAGCAAAGTTATACTTAATTTTACTAGTTTGCTGCGTTTTACAAAGAATAAAATAAAATTTACGTTTAATATTTCGTTGGTACTTCATAAGTAATAAATGCGACCAATTTTATATATTTTACTGATAATGCTAAATGAATTGATAATACCCGAATGTTTTATATTAAAAAAAAAAAAAAATTGACAAGTAATGATAATTTGTGGATGATAAAATACAAGTTCAATTCAATAGCCAATAATAAATAGTATATCTATGGTTTTTTTTTTTCTTCAAGATCAATTTATAATGATGTCATCATCTGAAATTTTGCTAGATAAAACAATTTGACAATTTTAAACTAATGAAATTGTACTTGTAAAAGAATGTATGACATGTTGGAATATTCGTTTAGGAAAAAGTAATGTATATTAGATGATGTCATCAAGCAGTTTCTTTGCAAATTTCAAGAATTTTTATCAATGTATACCTTTTACTCTAAAAAACCAAATTATCAAAGATTAACAATGAAATATTATTTGAACTATCTAAAGTAATAATCTTAAAAAATGTTAAAGGCAATAATTAATTACATGAAATGTTTTTTAGCAAACATATTTGGAAAATTTTTGAAAAATATAATAAAAGAAAAAAATAAATTCAAAAATTAAATAGGTTTAATATTTTACTAGCAATTTTCCCTTTTTTTTAGTTTAATAAATTTAGAAAATAAAAAGTTATACTATCTATAATGATAGGAAATTTTTCCTAAATATATTCACGACAGTATTAAATTCTAAAAATTAAAAATTTTAAATTGGTCAAAATTATCGAATGTTAAAGTATCAAAAATTGATATTTAATCATTAGTTTTCAAGTGATTCTTTCCATTCGTAACTGTTTACTAAATTAAACAACTTTTAGTATTTTATTAAGTAAAAAAAAAAATCACTAAAAATTGTTTCTTTTTTTTGCACATTTGTAAAGAATTATTTTTTGTCTCATTCTTTTTTTTTTTATTTAAATTTTCAGAGAAATTTCGGGACAACTTGTCTCTTATGCTTTTTTTTTGCTTAGTTAAGACAAATGATGCTTATGATTAGCTTTGTAGAAATCTTATTTGGATGGATGAATGAACGAGGAATGAAGGAATAGCTTTCTCGTTTCTTCCTCGTAAATCATCATCGTCTTTTCAAATTTCATTCAATTGACATGTCCTCTCTTAACCCTTCAATTGTTATCTTTCCATTCATTTTTGTTTGCAAGAAGCTTCTCTCATGCTTTAGATCTTGTGAAGAGTTCAAAAAAAAAAAAAAAAAAGCGATCGTTTTTTGAAGTAATCATTACTTTTCATAATTATTCTCGACACATTTCACATCAGTTTAATATTTACAATCGATATTCATCTTTCTTACAATTTTAAAGCATTTCTGATTATCATAAATACATCAGTTTGATAAAATAATTGAAAGCTAGAAGTTGTTCATGCATAAGTTCAAAAGGATTAAATTTTTTCCTACTTCTATCTCTACTTTTCTTATTTGCACTTAAATCGACCTCCTTTTTTTTTTTTTTTTTTTTTTTTTTTCTCCAAAATTGACGAGAATTTTCAAGAATTATTCAATTGAACAGTATTAATTCATTTATGATTCATTGATTCAAAACGGATATGAAAGAAAATAACGATTTGGTAAAATAGAGCTGGCAAAAACCTGATGAATGAGAGAGTAGCGGTGATTGTGGTGATAACGTGCTGTAAACATCTGTCATTTATTGTCGCATTAAGACGAGAAGACACAACTTTAGAGGTCAATTAGCTCTCACAGGCAATGATTTATTATCAAGACATATGCATGAAGGGAGTGGTGAATCGAGGACACGATGACCGGCAAAACATAAAGGCCGGCGCAATTGGTCAAAATCTCGACACCCCTCCTGGGATATTGTACAGCTGCTGCTATTGCTGCTGCTGCTGCTTCATGCCATATTTTCCATTAAAATGAAAATTATAGAAACAAATTAAACAACAATTGCATGTAAATGACGCATTCAAGTTCATTCCATCTTCTTAGACAATACTTTGAAATTCACTGTCCCCTAACTTACTTCATTCTTTGTCACCAAACAATATAATTAGCAACATTTGCTATTACTATTTGCCATTATAAAATATCCTACAAGCCATAGCTTCCATGCAATAAACTTTGTTAAAATAAGAAGAATAACTGTTAACACTGGATTGACATAAACAAATTAGTTTACAAAAAAAAAAGAAATATCAATATGAATATTTGAAAAAAGAAAGAAACATGAAACAAATAATTTCGAATGATATAAGACAACAATTAAGTGAAACTTCTTAAATTACTTTCCCGTTTTACATTATAAGTCTTTCATGAAATTAATGAAATTGGATTGTTTTTACATATCACTGTACAATTAAAAGGCAAAAGAATCTATCTGTTCAATAAGTTGAAAACAAATCATATCAACTAATTAACTAAATATTCTTAATTGTTAAAATACTAATGAATTTTTCCTTTTCTGCTCACATTGTAAATTTTGAAATGAATTTACACAGGCCATAAAAATAAAGTAATGATGAAGAAATTTCCAGAAAGAAAAAGAGAGAGAGAGAGAGAGAAAGAAAAGGAAATCTTATGTTTATAATATCCAATAAGAGTCATTCCTTTCCTGTATAGCTCCTACAAAGTACTAATATTAGCAACGAAATGAGTATGCTTTTATGCATGCTATATATATATATGTAATAAGTTAATGCTACTAATCAATTTCAAACCCAATTTTGGGAAATTTAAATTTAAATACCTTCTTTGAAAAGCATATCAAAGAATGAAATAAAACAGAATGTAGATGAAAATGAAAGAATAATAATAACACTTGGCTAGTTGTATGTTTTATTTTCATAGATTAGATTTCACGGACCGCATCTGAAGAGGTTTTTGTCACCAACGTTTTTGTCGCCTTGTTGCAGTCTTTTCTAGAATTGGAAATATGGATGAGTGATGGCTTCAACTTTCTGTCTTAAATTTTTAAGTGGAAGTGAAGTTAGAGGAAGAATTTTAATGTAGTAATATTTGGCTGCTATTTGTTTGATTATCTAATGTTACTGATTTATATAAATAATCGAAGGATAGTAGTTAAATGCAGCATCTTTTTTAATTTACGATGCTATTAACTTTCCTCAGAGATGAATAGAGATGCTAACTTGTTGTATTGTGATTGAGGGACCAAAGACCAGCTTTAGATGTCGGTAGATTGTTGAGGTTTATCTCGTAAATAATCAAATACATTTTAAAAATAAAATAACTAAATTAGTCTAAGGCTGCAACACTATTCCTTTCCATATGAAATATTGCACATCCCTGAAGATGAAATCAATTTTTTTTTTTTTTGCCACAAGGAAATGCGCAGGGTTTCTTTTCCTCGATTTTTTATTTTTATGTTTATATGAAAGAGCTAAAAGTGTCAAATTATTTATTGGTTAATTATAATAGCGGTACCCTAGCTTATTCATGAGGTCCTTTGTCTTTCTTCCATCGGTCAATACCTTCAATGAAAATAAATCAGGGTGAAATGAGAAAGGGAAAAAGTGACAGAGAAGAGAAAGATAACTTCCATTTTTATTCATAAATTAGTATTTTTTTATAACAGATTTTGTGAGAGTGATATGATGAGATAATAAACCGTTCCATATGAATATGAAAGTGGTAACTGTATTGACCTTGCTATTTTTCAGACAATTAATGAACGAGGTTTCAAGCTTACATAGCAAGATGAAGCTTGAACAGTCGGTCTAGCAACAGTTGAACTTCAATGTTAGCTTTTCAAAAACCACTTATTTTATATCGGAATGACTGGAACCTAAAATTAGTCAGTCCTATTTAGCAGGAAATTTTAATTGCAACCTGTCAGTCGTGGAGTCTCTTCCTAGCATGTATTCAATAAACTAATAAATGGAATGGGCTTATGCATTCAAAATAATTTTTTATGTTTCTCTTATTCGTCAGTTTCTCTCGTGTACTTTGATAAGTACTTTGATTTTGTCGTTAATTTCAGTCAGTAACAACCAGCCGAGAGATTGGATGAATAATTAATAGTTGGTCTGAAGAAAACGTTCAGCATAAAATAGGACGTATTAAAAATTCGCATGGTTGAAATACTCACTGAAAAAGTAATCCTTTACTGTTTAATATTTATATTTTTTATTAGGTTTGTGCACTTTAGTTTGGATTGATCGGTGGTGTGAGAAATAAGAAAAAGTAATGAGTAAATTTTGAAATATGAGCATTGTTTTTTACCATCACTTAACTTTTTACTTGGTATGTTATTTCTTTGTTTATGTATGTTTTATTGGTGCTGGAGTTTCGCAATTTCTTAATATCCAAGATTTTGAATTATTCTGAGCAGCGCGCGCTTGTTAGTTTTATTTACTGTATGCTTAAGTTTAACGGATTATTTGAAAAGATGAAATTTCTATAATTCATCTGAAATATTCCAAATCAGTTTTTTTTTGTTAGCAAAGCAACTTCTATTAATGATTGTGGAAATATTAAGCAATAGATATTTTGTGCAAACAGAAATTTAATAAAAGAAAAAGAATAAAATATTTAAATTTGGATAAAAGTAAGAAATGAGGTATTTCTTAAACTTTTGGCGAATAGAGG